AAAAAAAAAAAAAAAAAAAAAAAAAAAAGAACTGACACAGGTTTCACCAGTCACTTACATTTGCAGGGTGATCACCACTGAGGGGGCACGTAGCTGTAGGTGGGTGTTCCTGGGGCCCGATACGTGGGCACAGTGACTGGGTGGGGGGCAACAGGAGTTGGGGAGTGAGCGGTCAGCAGGGTACCTGGAAGAAAGAGCAGCTGTCTCAGTGGCAGGCAGCACCAGACACACACATGGCTAGCCTGTGTCACCACACAGCTCCATGCTGCCTGACGAGAGAGCCCTGAGACCTGGCCTGCTTGGAAAGGAAGGAGGTACACAGGAAGAGGGGTAGTCTTAACCTAGAGTGCTGTCAGAACTCTGATCATACACAACTCAAAGTTATACAAACACAGCAAGCTCATGTGATAATATCTATAGAAGGTTTTGTGTCTTCCCTTCACACGAGCATACTCAATGATTTTTGGAAATCAGATGATAACTGACGAAATAAAAAAATTATTATTCTGCCTTAAAAAGGAAGGAAATTTGTTACATGTTACAACATGGATGAACCTTAAGGACATTATGTTACGTAAAATAAACCAGTCACAAAAAGATACATCCAAAAGGACTACACTTAATGAGGTATCTCGAGTAGTCAAATGACAAAGTAAATGGTGGTGGCCAGAGGATCGGCTGGTGTGGGGGACACAGGGGATAAGGGAAGTTATTTAATGAGCAGACCTTCAGTTTTGCAAGGTGAAAAAATTGTTTTACAAAAACGTGACTATACTATATACAGTTAAAAATGGTTAAGATGGTAATAAATTGAAGAGAGGGAAGATACTAAACCACATGAGTTTCTGAATACATGAATCTAATTGTATTTCCCTTATAACTAGAGAAAACTCTCTGAGCCCATCTGTAGATAAGCAGAACCTCAAACCTAACAGCCTTACCTTGCTTCTCTTCACTTCTCATCTCCCTGCCCACAGCCTTTCATCCCTCCTTCCACATGCCTTAAACATGCAGTTTCTGTCTCTTCACAGATAAGTATGGGAAACCCATATACAATGGAGATTCTGGGCAGAAAACATACACCTTTCTCTCTGGCACAATCTCCCTATGTTGAAGTTTGAGAGAGAGAGAGAGAGAGAGAAAGAGAGAAGGAACACTGAAAACAAAAACAAAAACAAAAAAACAGCCAGTGCAATCAAATGCATCCTGTGTACCTGGCCAGCCTGCCACAGGTAACTCATATGCCCACTGGAGGTAACCTAAACCCTAGACATTACATCAAGTCCCCAGGGCTCCAGAGTCCAAGATGATGGGCACATCCTACCCAGGAGTCTCATATCTCTGTGATTTATTTTTCTGATCAAGGGAAGCCTTGGGAAATAAAGCTGACCAATGCCAAAGGATTTCTACATGTAGCTGTTCTATCTGTTAACACAAAGCTAGTTTTCTTAGATTTATGCAAACACCAACATTCACAGACTAAAGGGAGGTATCAGGAGGGCCAGACCACCTAGACACGAAGTAACGCCCTTCTGCTCAAGCTTGGTATGCTCCTCAGGAGGACCAGCCACTCCCTGGCCCTAATGCCAAGAGCTCAGCTCACCCGTCAAATACAGAGATCACTACCCAGTCATGCCCACAGGGAAGGTACTTAGTTCTTGGCTTATTACTCTAAAACCCCAAACCCAGACTCCTCTCAAGTGAAAGGAGAAGAGGAGGAAATGAAGGGAAGGGAAAGAAAAAGTTCCTTTCCTAAGAAAATGTCCTTCCATACAACTCGAAGCATGAAAAATCAAACCAAAGTTCAAAGAATTAGTGAGCTCTCCCTTTCCCCAGCTCTCATGCCATCATAAAACAGGCAACCCAGGGTCACGGACTCACCTGCCGACATGGCCATAGTGGTCCCAGCCACCATGCCCATGGTGACGCCGTTGCCTCTAGGTGGAGGAATGGGAGCAGGGTACACCGTCGCTGGCATGCCATTGGGCTGCACCACTGTGGTGTGGTGGATGACGTGAGGGGGTGCTGCATACAGGGGCTGTGTGTAGTACGTGCCTTGCTGTGGAGGAGAGGAGAGTCAACTGCCACAAGGCTGCACACCCCATGGATCAGAGCCCAGAGAGAACCAACCCTTCCCATATGCACAGTGCCCATGAGCAGCACCGTTAACAGACCCAAAGCACACCCCAGGCCTACCTGTGCGTAGGGGCTCTGCTGGGGGTAGGCACTTCGCACAGGGTACACAGCAGTCTGGTAAGGGTTGGGGGAGGAGGAGTATGGTGGCACTGCTCCGCTGGTGGGGGAACAGGACACTTTGTAAGGTGTGCCAGGAGTGTAACCTGAAACAAAGAAGCCAATGGCCATGAAAAACCCAGAGCTTTCCCTCTAAGGTTAGGAGCAAGACAAGGATGTCCACTGTCACCACTGTTACTCAACAGAGTACTGGAAGTTCTAGTCACAGCAGTTACACAAGAAATACAGGTCATCCAAAATCGTAAGGAGGAAGTAAAACTGTCTCGGAAGTAAAACTGTCTCTATCTGCAGATGACATGACATTACACATAGAAAATGCTAAAGACTCCATCAAAAAAACTATAAAATAAATGGATTAAGTAAAACTACAGGACACGAATATATAGAAATCTGTTGCATTTCTACACACTAGTAACAAAGCAGAAGAGAAATTAAGAAAACAGTCCCATCTGCAACTTTACCAAAAAGAATAAGGTACCTAGAAATACATCTAACCAAGGAGGTGGAAGACCTGTGCTCTGAGAACTGTAGAACACACTGATGCAAAAAAACTGAAGACAACACAAACAAATGGAAAGATACACTACACTCATGAACTGGAAGAATATTGCTAAAATGTCCATACTACCAACAGCAATATATAGATTCAACGTAATTCCTATCAAAATACCAATAGCATGGGTGCCTAGGTGGCTCAATTGGTTAAGCAACTGCCTTCAGCTCAGGTCATGATCCCAGAGTCCTGGGACTGAGTCCCGCACTGGGCTCCCAGCTCCATGGGGAGTCTGCTTCTCCCTCTGACCTTCTCCCCTCTCATGCTCTCACACTCTCTCTCTAATAAATAAATAAAATCTTTTTTTAAAATGCCAATAGCGTTTTTCGGGGCGCCTGGGTGGCTCAGTGGGTTAAGCCGCTGCCTTCAGCTCAGGTCATGATCTCAGAGTCCTGGGATCGAGCCCTGCATCGGGCTCTCTGCTCAGCGGGGAGCCTGCTTCCTCCTCTCTCTCTGCCTGCCTCTCTGCCTGCTTGTGATCTCTCTGTCAAATAAATAAATAAATAAAATCCTTAAAAATGCCAATAGCGTTTTTCACAGAACTAGAACACACAATCCTAAAACTTTTTTATGGAACCACAAAAAAGACCCCAAATAGGCAAAGCAATCTTGAGAAAGAAGAACAAAGCTGGAGGTATACAAAGCTGACAATACAGTACTGGCACAAAAACAGACACATAGATCAATGGAACAGAATAGAGAGCCCAGAAGTAAACCCATGTTTATATGGCCAATTAATGATCTACAACACAGGAGGCAAGAATATACCATGGGGGAAAAGATGAGGTTTTTTTTTTTTTGATGAATGGTGTTGGGGAAAAGTAGACAGCTACATGCAAAAATATGAAAATGGACCACTTTCTTACACCATACACAAAAAATAAAATGGATTAAAGATCTAAATGTGAGACCTGAAACCTTTAAAGTCCTAAAAGAAAACAGAGGCAATAATCTCTTGTACAATGGCCTTAGCAACATTATTTATGGATCTCTCAAGCAAGGGAAACAAAAGCAAAAATAAACTATTAGAACTACATCAAACTAAAAGCTTCTGCACAGGGGCGCCTGGGTGGTACAACTGACTGAGTGTCTGACTCTTGGTTTCTGCCCAAATCATGATCTCAGGGTCATGGAATCAAGCCCCCTGCCCACTTTCGGTCTCCACACTCAAGGAGTCTGCTTTGGTTTCTCACTCTCTCTCTGCCCCTCCTTCCTGTACCCACTAGCTCTAAAAAAAAAATTAAAAAATAAAAAGCTTCTGCACAGCAAAGTAATCCATAACAAAACAAAAAGACAATGTCCTAAATGGGAGATAAGATCTGCAAATGAAAAATCTGATAAGGTGTTAATATCCAAAATACATAAAGAACACCACCAAAGGGGTGCCTGGGTGGCTCAGTGGGTTAAAGCCTCTGCCTTCGGCTTGGGTCGTGATCCCAGGGTCCTGGGATTGAGCCCCACGTCGGACTCTCTGCTCAGCAGGGAGCCTGCTTCCCTTCCTCTCTCTCTGCCTGCTTCTGCCTGCTTGTGATCTCTGTCAAATAAAAATAAATAAAAATCTTAAAAAAAAAAACACCAAAAAAAACAAACGATCCAGTTAACGAATGGGCAGAAGACCTGAATAGACATTTTTCCAAAGAAGATTTCAGATGGCTAACAGACGTATGAAAAGATGCTCAACATAACTCAACATGAGAGAAATGCAAATCAAAATCACAATGAGATGTATCTCACACCAGTCAGAATGGCTAGTATCAAAAAGACAAGAAATAACAAGTGCTGCCAAGGATGTGGAGAAAGGGGAACCCTGGTGAATGTAAACTGATACAGCCACTACAGGAAAATAATATGAACATTCCTCAAAAAGTTAAAAACTAATATACCCCATGATCCAGTATTTCCTCTATTGGGTATTTAACCAAAGAAAATGAAAACACTACTTTGGAAAGATACATATGCACCTGTTTTTACTGTAGCATTATTTACAACAGCCAAGATACAGAAGGAACCCAAGTATCCAATGATAGAATGGATAAAGATGATGTTATGTATATGATGCACCCACACACACACAGACACACAGTGGAATATTACTCAGCCATAAAAAAGAATGAGATCTTGTCATTTGTGACAACATAGGATGGACCTAGAGAATATTATGTTAAGAGAAATAAGTCAAGATGAGAAAGACAAATACTATATGATCCAGCGATTTCACTTATATGTGCAATCCAAAAAAACAAAACAAAAGCCACAAACAGGCTCAAAAATAGAGAACAAAAAAGCAGTGGTTGCTGGGCTGGGGGGTGGAGGGAATGGTGATGGGCAAAACAGATAAAGGCGATTACGTGGTACAAACGTCCAGTTATAAAGTCAGTCAGTCATGGAGATGAAAAGTAGAGTACAGGGAATAACACTGCACTGTGAGAGATGGTGAGTACTTACTGTGCTGAGCAATAAGCAATACAAAGAAATGTTATATCACTATGTTTGTACACCTAAAACTAACAAAAAATTTAAAAAGGAAAGAGAAAAAGGCCTTAATTCAAACCCACTTTCAGGCCTGGCACAAGGAAGGAACAAAGCAGGGAGGAACAAAGCATTGTTATAGCCCTGACTGCAGTCAAGATCTGACACTACTGTGGACCTATCTTCCACAAATATCTGACTTCATTTCTAGACCTGATGTGCAAGTACATGTGTGGGGACTGGGGTAGGTGGCATTTTGGGGAAGAATGGAAAAAACAAAGGAGAAAGTTCTACTGAGAGTATACTCAATACAGGACTAGGAAAGAAATACCTGTCCTGTGGGAATATAAATTGGTACATCTTTCTGGGGCACAATCTGGCATTAGAAGTATGGATTGTAACAAACTCAACTATAAGAATGCTCATCACAGTGTTGTTTATTACAGCAAAATAAAAGGGGATGGGGGAGAAACTTGTCAAACACCAGGGCTAAGGTAAGAAGATTGAGTTAAGACAGCAAGTTGAACACATACATTTGCCTCTGTCCCCAAAGTGAGAATAAATCAGATTAATAAATTAAAGATATAAAGCCACATAAGGAATGGGAGAAAAGACAACAGTTTGGAATCTAAAAGGCAGAAATGGAAAATGACTTGGGAGACTCAAAATAGCTACATCGTAGCCAACAGTGAAAAAGGCCGAGAAGCAGCCTACTACCAGGAACAGGAACACCTCTTCCAAAAACCTGGAAACTATCAGCACTTGCTTCCAGGAGTTGATAGAGAGCTGAAGTCTGGAAGAGTGGCTAGAGTCTATCTGGTAAGTAGGAAGATGTCTGGCTCCCCTTCCTGACTCCCCATCCCAACACAGAACAGTGGCTTATTCTCAAATGAGGGTATGCGAAGGTCTTTGAACTGCTATGTTTGTAGCAGCTTTATTCATAATGACTGAATGTCCACCAGTAGACTGGTATATCCATATAATAAAATACCAGTTAGCAACCAAAAAGATAAAACTGCTGATATATACAACATGGCATAAATTTCAAAACTGTAAGATGCAAAGAAAACCAGATATAAGAATACATGCTGAGAGGTGTCTTGCTGGCTCAGCTGGTGGAGCATGTGACTCTTGATCTCAGGGTGTTGAGCTCAAACCTCACGCTGGGCATGAAGGCTACTTAATAAAATGTTTTTTTAATTATTAAAAAACAAAATACATGCTACATTCACTGAGAGGAAACTCTAGGAAAGACCAACCTAGTATTCCAAGATAGAAAACCGATGGTGGTGCTCGAGGGCCAGAGGGTATGAGGGAACTTTTCAGGAGAATGAAGTCACTTGACTGTGGTGGTATTACACAACTGTATACTTCTATCTAAACACACCACACCATACATATAAAAGGATAACTTTTAGTGCATGTAAATTATACCTCAGAAGAACTGCTTTCTAAAAGTGAGGGGGTGCTGGGTGGCGCACTCAGTCAAATGTCCAACTCTAGACTTTGATTCAGGTCATGATCTCAGGGTGGTGAGACTGAGTCTGCTTTGGGATCCCCACTCAGGGTGGAGTCTGCTTGACAATTCGCTCCCTCTCCCTCTACCCCAACCTCTAAAATAAATAAATAAACCCATAAAAAATGAAAACAAAAGTAAAAGTTTTTGAGATATTATTTCTCATTCATTACAAGCGCTCACTCACTCACACTTAGTTCATGGGAATGTCAGACAGTACAACTTCTCATAAAGCTAGAGAAATACTTTCCAAATCACCCAGGAATTCACGCTCAGATACCTGCCCTAGAAGAATGAAAACATACATCCACAATAGGACTTATAAAAAACTGTTCACCAAACTTAATAGACAAAAACTGGGAAATAATCCAAATGTTCATCAAAAGGAAGAATGGTTCAATTATGATACATCCAAATAAAAAATACGAAGTATCAAGAGGAAAAAACACAAGTAAGTCTCAAGCCATGTTGAACTTTTAAAACTCACCAAACACACATAAGAGCACACATTGTATGATCTCATTTTCAATACAAAGCATACAAATATA